AGATTGCAGGGGCTGGCTACTAAGTGAAGCCCCGTTTTTCTTTAGATTCTGGAGGAGGGAGGGTAAGTCAGAGACTGGGAGCCAGGCACTCTCGGGGGCATCTGCCTCCTTTGTACCTCCGCATACACACTGTGGCCTGAGTGCTAGCCCCAGCCAGTCAGCTTCAGCGTTTTCCCTTAGCTGGTGTCTGCTGCAGGGCGAATGATGTGCTAAGCGACGTTAAAATGTGGCTTTCTGATAATTTATCATGTACATTCTCATAAACACATCACCCTCGTCACAGTACATTTCCGAGTGCTAGGCCTAGCAGAGGGGACAAGTTAACGCTTACCTAATGAGGTTTTGCAGATGTCAAACGCTCAGGAGCTTTGGTAATGGGCAAAATGGCCCAAGGAGGGCTTTTGTCTTCCCTTTCTCCTGCGACACCATAGAGTATGGGTCTTGGAGTCCCTCACCTCGCTTGTTCCCCAGAACTGGAGGCCTGGGGAGGTGGAGGGCCTGGCTCCATGTTCGATGAGGCAGACCTAGTACTCACAGCCAGGTTTCCTGATCTCTGGCCCCCACACATTGGAGGTGGGGAAGGACTCGGCCCCTCCCTCTATCCCAGCCAGGGCTGGACTCTGCCCCTCTGTGCTGGTCAGGATCTAGGCTGCCAGCCTGGACAAAGGCAGGTTTACCTGCCAGGAGAGACAGCCCAAAGTCAGACCATCTCTACAGGAGACCAGATGTCTTACAAGGCACAGTGTTATGTCCTTGGGAACCCCCAGAAATAACCTATGGGGCTAAGGAAGGTGTGGCCTAAGGCTTAGGTTGGGACAGCACATCACTTCCAGGTGAGAGGTTTCTAGAGTTCAAAGCTTTGGTTCAAGGAGTCTTCAGCATGGGCTTGAACACTGTAGTGTTGTAAGTGGGCTAGAAGGGCAGGCGCACGGGCCTGAGGGCATGACTCATTGATAGGGTGCTTGCCTAGACCGTGTAAGGCATTGGATTTGATTCTCCAGCACCGGGTGGGGGACGGGGAAGAAGAAACACAAACTAATAATTTTGAAACCCCAGGCAAATGGCTTTGGATTAATGATGCCATTCAAAAGTATTAACAATGCAAGCGGTAACTTTCAATTATGGTTTGCTTCACTTCTTAAATTTAGAGGATGTTTTCTCATACAAAAATGCCTGGAATATAAAGTAAAGAATGTCTGCACCCATCAGCCGCCTTTAAAAGAAACCATTCCAGTTCCCTTGAAAACTAAACACAGGAGCCTCGTGTGATGGCACATTTCTGTTGTCTTAGGTGTACTGGAGGTTGAGGCTGGAGAATTGCTTAAGTCCAGGAGTTCAAGGCCAGCCTGGGAAACATGGAAAGACCCTGTCTTTTTTTTTTTTTTTCATTTTCTTTTTCTTTTTTTTTTCTTAAGATAAGGTTTCTCTGTGTAGCCTTGGCTGTCCTGGAACTAACTCTGTAGACCAGACTGGCCTCCATCTCAGAGATCTGCTTGCCTCTGCCTCCTGAGTGCTGGGATTAAAGGCGTGTGCCACCACCACCTGGCGGAAAGACCCTGTCTTTAACAACTACAACTGCGTCGGTATGTTGGCTCATGCTGGTGATCCCAGCACTAAGGATGTGGGGCAGGAGGATCCAGAAGTCCAAAGCCATCTTTGGCTACATGTCCAGTTGGAGGCCAGCCTGGGTTATATGAGAGCCTGTCTTAAAAAAAAAAAAAAACCAACAACAAAAAGTTAAGAATAGAGAGAATGGGGAGTTATTGTTGAGCGGTACAGAGCTTGACTGTGATGAAGGAAAGTTTCAGGAGTAACAAGGACAGTGGCATAACCCTTTGACTTGGGTAATGCTACTGAAATACATACATAGGTTAAAGTGGAGGGTGGTGGGGGCCGGAAGCCCAGGGCCAGAGGGTGAGCCTAGCATTCAGTAGGCCCGGGGTTGGACCCACAGCAACCCACTGAAGTGACTGAAATGATCAACATTCTTATCTATATTTTTATACTTTAAAAAAATTACAAATGTGACTGGGTGGTGGTGGCGCATGCCCTTAATCCCAGTACTTGGGAGACAGAGGCAGATGGATCTCTGTGAGTTTGAGGCCAGCCTGGTCTACAAAGTGAGTTCCAGGATAGCCAGGGCTACACAGAGAAACCCTGTCTCAAAAAAAAGAAAAAAAGGCCAAAAAAAGATTTTTATTTTATGTAGACAGGTGTTTTGCTGGCATGTATGTGTATTCACCTGGTATCTGTGGAGGGCCTTGGATCCCCTAGAACGGGAGTTACAAATGACTATAAGCCATCAGGCCAGTGCTTTTTTTTTTTTAATTTATGTGCATTGGTGTTTTTCCTGTATGAGGATGTCAGGTACCCTGGAACTGAAGTTACAGACAGCTGTGAGCTGCTGTGTGGGTGCTTGGAATTGAACCTGGGTCCTCAAGACAGTTGCACCTGTCTCAAAAAAAAATTACAAAGGTATTTGAAATCTGGGTATGCTAGTTTCCCTCCATCACATTGCTTTCTTCCAAGGCAAGAACTATTTCGAATTTGATTCTATCCCTCCACACAATTATTTTGTATATTTGTTATGTAAATAAATATCTGGTATTGTTTGTATGGTTCAAAACTTCATATAAGTGCTATCATACTGTACATGTCCTCATTCAACAATTTTGGTGTGTGCATATATGTATGTGTGTGTGCATGTGAAGGCAAGAGATCAACCTTAGGTACTGTTCTGCAGGAGTCATCCACCTTGTTTTCTTTGAGACAGGGTCTCTCCCTGGGACCTAGGGCTTGCCAGTGTAGGCTAGGCTGGTTGGCCAGTGAGCCCCAGGGACCTGCCTGTCTCTACCTCCCCATCACTGGCATTATAACTGCCTAACTACACCCAGTTTTTTATGTGGATGCTGGATCAAATTCAAATTGTTTTGTGCTGACTGAGTTATCTTCCCAGCTTTTTTTTTTTTTTTTTTTTTTTTTTTTTTTTTTTTTTTTTTTTTTTTGAGGAAAAGTTTTATATATCTCAGGCTGGCGCTGCTAGCTGTTTTTGTCAACTTGACATAAACCTAGACATATTTGGGAAGAGGGAATCTCAGCTGAGAAACTGTCTTCATCAGATTGCTTTATAGGCAAGTCAGTGGGGACATTTTCATGATTGATGATTGGATGTGGAAGGGCCCAGCCCCGGTGGGTGATGCCATTCCTAGACAGGTGATCCTTCCTGGGTAATATGAGAAAGCAGACTGAGCAAGCCATGAGGAGCAAGCCAGTGAGCAGCACTCCTCCATGGTTTCTGCCTCAGTGCCTGCAAGTTGTTGCCTTGGCTCCCCTCAGTGATGGGCAGTGATTGGGACATTGAACCAGAAGCAGCCTTTTCTCCTCAGGTCGCTTTTGGTCATGGTGTTTATCACAGAGCAGAAAGCAACCAGGATGCTTGCTAGAACTTGCTGATCCTCCTGCCTCAGCCTCTGAGTGCTGACATTACAGGTACATTGCACAGTTTGTAGAGTCATCTACAATAGCCATGTTTTTGTTTTTGAATGAGTGATTCACTAAGTATATAGCAAGCCAAGGTAAAAGACTAAATAATGAATAGTATGTAGCTAGGAAAACATTTAATTGAGTACTCAAAACATCCAGCAGAGACCAACTGAGGATGGCCCATTAAGGCCATCTGGAGTTCCTCCCAAAGTCCCCAGCAGGTATCCAAGTAAAATATCAGTTTCAATCTACAGAGATGACATCATCACATCTGGTCCTCATGGCATCCAGCAGAAACCAGCTTGGGAAACTGAGGCAGTTAGCTGAAGTTTTTGGCTGAGTTTCCAGCTGCTCTTCCCCATGAGCACATAACCAGTAGAACATGATTGGAAATGGCTTACCTTTGGGTATCTTCAAGGAGGACACAGTGTGTTTACACCTGTCCCCTTCTCTTCCTGTCACAGAGTTAGGGTTTCAGGAATTGAACTCAGGTCATCAAGCCTGCTTGACAAACACCTCTACCCACTGAGCCATCTTGCCAGCTCAGGCTCGTGTATCTTTAGCTTGATGATATAGTGCCAAACTGCTCTCCAAATTGGTTACCATCACTTCCATCCCACCAGCAATTCACTCCCTACTACTTTCTCCAGGTCCTCCTATACACCTGTATTATCAGATTTAAATCTTAGCTGGTTTGAGAGCTGTTGAAGGGTCTCTCATATGCTTGATTTGTCTTTCTAACTAGTGCTAGTTCATTTCTGCTGCCGCTGATGGTGGGTGTGTGGTATCAGTAGATGAATGTGGCAAGTTAAAGTCAGCATGGGACTAAAACAGTACAGTTCTCCTGTATGGATGGAACATCATGTAGCCTTTAAAAGGAGTAAGCAGGGCTGATGACCCGACTTCTATCCCCACGTGGTGGAAAGAGAGAACTGACTTACACAGGCTAGCCTCTGAACGCCACATACATGCTGCAGTTCAAGTGGGCCCCTTCAACAAGTAAGTAAAAAAAGAAATAGAAGAAGACATTTTTTTTTTTTTTTTTTTGGTTTTTCGAGACAGGGTTTCTCTGTGTAGCTTTGCGCCTTTTCCTGGAACTCACTTGGTAGCCCAGGCTGGCCTCGAACTCACAGAGATCCGCCTGGCTCTGCCTCCCGAGTGCTGGGATTAAAGGCGTGCGCCACCACCGCCCGGCGCAGAAGAAGACATTTTTAAAAGAGTTCAGTAGGTCTGATGTGGAAGCTGCATTGATATCTTGATGCACTAAAGTTCCTTTTCTTGCTCAGATTTAAAATTTTTAAAATTTAAAATTTACTATTTTAAAAATTTTAGCTGGGCAGTGGTGGCGCATGCCTTTAATCTTAGCACTCAGGAGGCAGAGGCAGGTGGATCTCTGTGAGTTCGAGGCCAGCCTGGTCTACAGAGCTAGTTCCAGGACAAAGGCTTACACAAAGAAATCCTGTCTCAAAAAAAAAAAAAAAAAAAAAAAAAACAACAAAACAAAACAAAACAAAAAAAACAACCAAAAAAACAAAACACAAACCAAAACCAACAACAAAAACTAACCACATTTTAATTTAGTTGTGCATGCATTATCTTATTAACAAAAAAATAAGCAAATCCAAAGAGACCCACAAATAGTTTTCCAAGAGTTGTTTAATGAGTACAAGGTTCTAGAAAGTTCTGGAAGTGGATAGTGCTGATGATTGGACAGCATTGTGAGCACACTGATCTGCTTATGTAAAAATGGTTACGATAAGCCATGCAGCTCTTTTGAGTTGGCCTGATTTTCAGAAAAGTCTTATTCTTCTTCACCTCTTTTGGTTACTGGCCAAAGCCTAAGCATGTTTTCTCTGGCCCTTCAGGCTTTCTCGCTCTTCCTTAGGAGCTACCCTCACTTCTGCCTCAGATGGCTCGCTCATCTCCATGCCTAGCTCAAAAGGCTTGCCTGCCTGCTTTCTTTCAAATTCTTTTGTTTGTTTGTTGTTTTTTTTTTTCCGAAACAGGATTTCTCTGTGCAGTTTTGGAACCTGTCCTAGACCTTGCTCTGTAGACCAGGCTGGCCTCAAACTCACAGAGATCCACCTGCCTCTGCCTCCCGAGTGCTGGGATTAAAGGCGTGCACCACCACCGCCCGGCTTCTTTCAAATTCTTAGCTCAAGTTTCAGGGGTTCTGATGCTTTCTTCTAGCCCTTTAGGCTCCTGTGTGCTTGTGGTACACAGGGTCATTCGGGCAGACATAATACACGTAAACCAACAGACAGACAGACAAATAAAATTGCCCTTAAGCTAAAAAGTGGTTACAAGGGTACATTCTGTGTTATCCCATTTATTTACCTATGGCCGGGTCTTGGTATGAAGCTTAGGCTGGCCTCAAATCTGAAATTCCCCTCCCTCACTTTAGTCTCCTGAGTGCTGGGTTTGCAGCTGTGAGCTACCACACCCAGATTATGTTATACCTGTTTTAACACACACACACACACACACACACACACACACACACACACACACACACACACACACCAAAAACAATAAAAAAAAATATTTTAACATGGCAGTCCCTTGATCTGCAGTCTTTGAGACAGGGTGTCCTGCTGGCAGCTAGGATGGAGGTCAGGGACCAGGATGCTGGCTACAGGTGGGATGCCTCATACTGTGTTTCTCAGGATCCTCCCACAGAGTAGCGATTCCAGCTCTCCACCTAGGTTCCTAGGGGCTATTCATGGCAAGGCTGGGTGGGATCCCACGCTGCTCTCAGGCCTGCCCTCCCTTGAGGTCCTGCTCCTCTGTATACAGATCCGGGAGGAACCGGGCTCCACCACCTTTTCCCTGTCATCCAGCCCAGCCTATACCATCCTCTGTCCTCAGTAGTGCTATCTCCCACTTCCCTTGGAGGCTTCATTCTGATGCTGCACCCCAGCTGCCACTGATGCCCCCCAAGGCCCCCTGTGTACCACCTGGATGCTTTGGATGGCCAGCATGCAGCTGCAGACCTAGGTCTCATGACCCCTCATTTCAGCCTCTTCTCTGACTGCCACAGTAGTGGCCACTGGGCCCTAGAGCAGCGCTACTTCTGGCTCTGTCTGGCTCAGGGCTTGAAGTCCACCCCAGTGAGGCCACAGGGGGGTCTTTTGGGGGTTGTTTCCTTGGCACCCTGGTTCTAGTAGCCACCTCTGACAGAACCAGAGAACACTTAGTTCTTAGAAAGAATCCAATTCTGCTTATTTTTTTTTTTTTCTAACCCCTATCTCATGCCTAGCTAAGTCCATGAACTGAAGCCCAGGCCTGTCTCAGGGCCTTTGAACCATCAAATTCCCCACCCCTGGGACATCCTCCCATCAAGGTGGCCCATTCTCATTTTTGTATGTCTTAGCTCCAGGCCAGCTCCTCGAGATGACAGAGACAGCCATAGGAAGCTGCTACGTTCCCGCCTGTTTATTGCTCAGTGTCTGCAGGCTCCTCAGGGACAGGGACCCAGTTTATGGGCACTCAACTCACAGTGATAGGAGGCAGCTGATCCAGGCTACAGGATTACAGGCAGGGCATTTGGGAGGCGGGGCCTGCGGAGGCCCACTAGCCTTGGGCTAGCCCTACTCCTCTCTGCCTGCACCAGCTCGCTCCCACTCCAGCGGATGGCCTTGGAGACAGCAGCATTCAGAGGAAGGAGGAGGCAGAGTGGAGGGTCATCCGTCAGGCGAGACGTGGAGAGCCTGGGAAATCAGGAAGGCTGTCTGAGGCCCTTCTGCAGCATCTGCCTGGTACTCCCCGTCATCTGGGAGCCCGATGGGCGGGCTGTCCCTGGGCACTGGAGAGAGCCAGGGTAGCCCCCAGGACCACAGTGGTGGAGGAAGGAGGGCCTAACCAGGGCTCCTTGCCAATTACCTTCCCTTTTCAACGCAGACATTTACTTCACAATAAACATTTAAAAACACATAAATCTCCCAAAGGTGTCGGATTCCATCTGGAACCTTCATCCCATCTCAGAAGGCGATTATTTTGTTCGATTTATTTTGAATTTTGATATTTGAGAGTACATAGACTAACATAATAAACCCGAAAACCTACCCACCCACACCAGTATTTTCATCTTTTTTAGAGATTTTTATTTTAAACATAAAAAACTGTAACTGCGGATGGAGCTGAGGGTCTAGCTCAGGGGCAGTGTGTGCTTAGCATATGAAAGACCCCGGATTCCATCCCCGGCAGAAGCGAACGTTTTGAGGCTGTATAGCATACAGAATCATGTAAAGTTCAGATGTGTAGAAGAGCATGGCACACATCAGTGTTGTGACCTCCCCAGGCATGAGATGAGACCCTGGGTTCCCCTCTCAACTGGCCCTGATTATACTCTGATCTGTATGATGCCTCTGCCTAGCATCCCTGGTCTTTTTTTAAAGTAGATTTATCTTCTTTTTAACTATGTGTATGTATGTGGATATGTGCAGAGAGAGTAGGTACCCTTGGAGGTCGGAGAGGCATCGGATCTCCTGGAGCTGCCAGGAGTGACAGACAGTTGTGATGTGGGTGCTGGGAACCAAGCTCAGGTCCTCTACAAGAGAAATACATACTCTTAATGGCTGAGCCATCCCTCCAGCCCTTCTCCTGCCCATTTAAAAATATAAATACAGGGAGATGGAGATGAATACCTGTTGTTCTCCCAGAGGCCCCAAGTTCAGCTCCTAGCACCCACTTTGGGTGACTCCCAGTTACCTGTAACTCTAGCTTCAGGGAATCTGATGCCCTCTTCTGGCCTGTATAGGCACCCACCCAAACAATTGTATAGATACACACACACACACACACACACACACACACACACACACACACACACACACACACACGGAGGTAGGGGGCAGAGAATTAAAAAGTTAAAGTGAATGTTTGGTTTAAAATAAATAAATATGCAGTGTGGTGGTGGCGCACGCCTTTAATTCCAGCACTTGGGAGGCAGAGGTTGGCAGATCTTTGTGAGTCTGAGGCCAGCCTGGTTTACAGAATGAGTTCCAGGACAGCCAGGGCTGTTAGACAGAGAAACCCTGTCTCAAAAAACCAAAGTTAAATAAATAAATACAATAAAATATCACAGCTATAAACTTCTCTTCTTGTGTTCCAGCTTTACCCCAGGAGGCAGGCCCAGTAATGGAACTCACATAGACCATGCCAGGCAGAGTTGCATATTTTTAACACATAAATTTGTTTTGCATAGTTTAGAACTTTGCATAAATGACAGCAATCCTGTACCTATTACCCTGCACATTGTGTTTTCTCCCGTGTCTAAGTGGTCTTTTAAAAGCTGCCCTACTGAGGTATAATCTATGCACTGTAAACCAAGTATACAACTGGGCGATTTTGGGTAAATGTACAGAGCTGTGCACCCGTCAGCACAATCCAGTTTTAGAACATCCTCATCTCTCTCTCCTAAGGCGGCCAGATGCATTGCAGTTTCTCCCTTTTGCTTCAAGTGCTTTTGGACAGATCTTGATCCCTTTCCCTCAGGAAGCCCCTGGTAGGTGCCAACCCATGCTCTGGGGGACATTATGCTACCTCAGTTACTCCTACGACAACTTGGAAAAAGTGCGTTTTGGAGACAATAACAAGAGACACAGAGGAGGATGAGAAGCTGCCCAAGGTCACCCTCCCAGAGACCGACAGACAGGCTGAGCCCCAGGCCAGCCCCAGTCAGCGATTTAGTCCTGGGACCACAGATTTTCACTGCTGGAGGGTGGCCCGGCAAAAGCTGTGATCCCACACAGATGAGAAACAGGCTTAAATAGCTGAGTGGCCTGCTCAGGACCCCAGGGACAGGCAGTGGCAGAGTTGGGACTTACGCCGCGTCTGTGTGACTCACAAATGTGACTGACTCCTGGCTAGTCTCCTTTCCTTCTCTTTTTCTTTTCTATTTTCTCTCTCTCCTTTCTCTGCCTCTGTTTGGCTTGGTACTTGCTATGCAGCTCAGGCTGGTTTTGAACTCACAGTAGTCCTCCTGCCTCAGCCTCCCA